AATTTCTGATCTCAAAAACGTACACTGACGCTAGTTTACAATTTACTTTCCCTTAATTTTCTTGTTCGCTTCGAAGGTCTAAAAACAAGGCGCAATCTTCTTAAGGCATCAGTTACGTCTGCGGTCGTGCGTGGGGCCCTTGTATTGGGTTAAGTATAATAACAATAGTGAACTTTTATTTTACGATTTGAACCCAACTCAGCATTGATCGGTCCGTGAATGTTGGCTTGCGGATCTTTCTCCTCGGTGTCCTAGGCAAAGTACTCTGGTTTATGTGTCATTCCATCCATTTTCTGACAGATTTGGGTGTTAGCCTTTATCAGCACAAACGATGAGCCAATTAGGAGGCGAATGGCTTCTGTGGTATCTCCATCCGTACGGCAGCAATATTCGATGCGAGTGTTATGGTCGTAATAACCTTCCGGAAGCGTGCCACCTCTTTTGTTATTGTTATTGTTATCTTCATCATCCCAACGAACGTATGCCTCCTCGAAATCTGTGCAACAAATATTTATCGCAGCATCACGCTTAAATTGAATAATTTATTTGAGGGAAGATGTGAGGTACGACAACTATAATTTATCATTTCACAATTACGTTGAACACAACAGGGCAACGGAGTGCGAAAAGTGTGCGACGGTATTATATTGCAGAATAGGGAAAAACACGGGCGGAAAGTGGAGCAAAAAAATGGTCGCGCTGAACGCTTCAACCTTTGATGTCTTTCAGGTTTTTCGGCTTGCACTTTTAAGCAACGACTGGACTTTTAAGCGTAACAGACATTTTTGTTGGTAATAAAAAACACTTATAGAAATGGTATCATTTTCATTGTTTCAGTCTTACGCGATCAATACGTTGTTGAGGCAAAGCCGTAAGAAGCATTCGTAAAACTGGAGGCCTAGAAAATGAAATAAAAGCGGAATAAAAAACCCTTATTCGATGGTTTAACATATAAAATAAACGGAAATTTTGCTTATCACCGGTCTCTCTTTGCCCCAGTATCGCCGAGAGTAAATTACCTTTCCTTGGTCTCTGTTACGTTGTTCAAGATGTTG